ATAAAAACTATACGAAAATACCATTCTACAATAATCATCCAACTGGTAAGGCTCGTGGTGGAACAGCTGTAATCATAAAATGTAATTATGTAATCATGACATCAAACACTTCCTCCAAATTTTAATAGCACACATGAACATACAAGCTACTTTAGTAGCAATCAACACAACACAATACAAACTCACAATGGCTGCAGTCTACTGCCCCCCAAAGCAGAAAATCTTTCTACACCAATTCACAAACTTCTTTCAAAGTCTGGGAAACAAATTCATTGCCGGTGGCGATTTCAACGCCAAGCGTTTTATGTGGTTCTAAGGCAAACTCACTCAGAGGAAAAACATTAAAACAAAGCATACGAATACTATCCCTAGATACACTAACAACCAATGAACTTATTGGCCAGCTGCACACGACAAATCTACTAGACTTCGCTATAATCAAAAGGTTAATAAAGCCCACTTCCAAGTATATTCTTGCTTCGATCTTAGTTCAGATCATTCGCCGATTCTACTCGACTATCTTTACCAACCAGTATTCACTCAAAACATTATGCAACAATAGTACTAGCTGGGCACACTTTAAAAACTACTTAGAAGACAACATAAACTGCAACATATGACTAAAAAACTTCGAACAAATAGAATCAGCTGTAACTAATTTTACTAATCTTATTCAAATGACAGGATGGATGTCTACTAAATCAGTAAAAAATAAACGACAATTTATCTCATATCTAGACCAAATCATTCAAAAAATTAAGCTCAAACGTAAACAAAAATACAAATGGCGAAAGCAGAAAACCACTTTCAATATAAAAAGACTGAACGCAATCACCAAAGAAGTGAAACAGTTAATACTGCAACATTGCAACGACAAATTTCACTCATACATCTGTAACCTTTCTCTTAACGAAGATACGAACTATTCATTATGGAAAGTCATCAAACGGTTCAAAAGAGTTATCACACTGTTTCCCGCTATCAAGAAGCCTGACGGTAGCTGGGCAAGAAATGCTGTCGAAAAGCTACAATCTTTGCCACTTAGACAACATCTTCCAACCTAACGACAAACACGATACCACAAAGTCTACAGTCCTGATAAATACCGATCACAATCAAGAAATCTCAAGAACCACCTTCAAGGAAGTTAAAAATCTTATTGCTGACATCTCAACCAGGCTTCGACCTAATTAATGGAAAAATCATCAAAGAACTTCCACCTAAAGCTGTCAGAATGTTTGAGAACCACAATATTTAATGCTATACTAAGAACCCAATACTTCCCCATTAATTGGAAAATAGTACAAATTATCCTGCTACATAAACCCAACAAACATTTACACCTGCCGTCATACTATAGACTTATCTCTCCGCTACCCACACTATCGGAAGTACTGGAAAGAATAACACTAACGAGAATGAAAAAGATAATTACAAAGTAAAACTTAATACCGTCACATCAATTTGGTTTTAGAAATAAACACGCAACAATAGAGCAGACAGACTTACAAACAAGATTACACATGCTCTCGAACACAAACAGTACCGTATGGCTCTTTTTGACGAAGTCTGGCACGAGGGTCTCTTACACAAAATTTGTCAAAAATTTTCTAGGTCTTACTATAATCTCATTGAACCTACTTAAAGCAAAGAATCTTTTTCGTCAAGCATCAAGATGAGTTCTGACATTTACGACATAGAAGCGGGCGTCCCACAAGGTAGTGTTTTAGGCCCTTTCTTGTACACAATATATACATCATATATTCTAACCACGAACGAAACCGATATATTTACATTCGCAGACGATACAGCCATATTATTCACCTACAATGATCCAACGGCAGCGATAGATATCTCACAAAAACACATTGCAAAACTAGAAGAATCGCTGCACCGATGGAAAATAAAAGTAAACACGGACAAATGTAAGCACATTACCTTCACCCTAAAGAAAGGTACTGTTCCTGATATAAAACTTAACAATATTCCCGTAATCGGTTAAATATCTGGGATTCAAAATTAACGTGGAAACATCATATACGCTCTAAAATCGAACAAATTCGTTTTAAGAGGAAAAACATGTGCTAACTTACGTCCAAAAAGTCGAAACTAAGTCTTAACAATAAACTTTTAATATACAAAACAATTGTAAAGCCTATCTGGATCTACGGCATCGAGATGTGGGGCATGGCTGCCAAAAGCCACATTGCTGAATTTGAGGCATTACAATAATCTATAATTCTTAGAACAGTAACCAATGCTCCATGGTATGTTCGAAATGACGAAATCAGGAAGAATCTCAAAATTAAAACAGTCACCGACGAAATCACCAGTCGCTACAACAGATATAAAAAAAGAATAGACAATCACTCCAACGACATAGCAAAAAAATTATATGCAACTAGTTTGCCTCGCAGACTGTATAGGAAGCATCCAAATGATCTTCTATCCTAACAACATCAAGTCTCAACAGATGTTCTCCACCGGGATAACATCTACGTGCTAATAAACTACATCCGATACTATAATTCACCGAATGTCCTTGCTGGACAAATTGTGAAGGAGATAATAAAAAAGAAAAAGAAAAAATCTCGAGATTTCGTGAGTCTATCATGTGTTATTCAACAGCAGAGCAAATTCTTTGAAAAAGAGAAGTTCCTTTAACGATAAACGATTATAGTACGAGGCAAGCAAAATATAGTACGAGGATACAAAAATTTTAAACTCAGATGTAGCAGAAAATCATAAAAATCCGGTATGCCCTAAACATTTTTAGGCCTTAACAAATATTTAAAGTCATCAGAAAATCTCCTATTCAAATGCATTATTTCCCACTCAGAATAGGATTAAATTAATTTAATTAAAAACTCGACATTGAAAAACATTTCAAGAAAAGATTTCATTGGGAGGAATATTGGAACGTAATAACTTTGTCCTGATACATCTTTTTATCAGTAAAAATGACGAAGATATTAAGATGAACATGATAAGAGAAACACTTTGTACACGTATAGTGATTTTCAAATAATTAAATATTTTAAATAATCAAATATTAAATTACGCGAACACTATAATTTTATAAAAAAAATTCACACAGCAGTAAATCAAGGCTCATTTTAAAACTTCTGTTTTCAAAATGTGACTTTCATTTTATTGTAAAATATTTTTACATCACGTAATGGGTGGATAAATGAAAATACTCTTCTTCTTGAGTGTGATATATGTATAAAAGCTATAAATTGCTATAAATTGTCACAGTACGCAAAACCATTGAAAACTTTTTTTTGTGATTGAGTACACAATGAATTTGAAGGTCGACGCTCCTTTGTAGTCACTCCAGAAATCTTGACGTATGATTTTTTATTATTATTTAACCAATCTGAATATCACCTTTATATGATGAAAATTCAAAAAAAAAACATAACATTTTCGTCTGATATCCATAGGTCAATAAATTATAGAAAAAACAACATACAGTAAGTCTTAAAGGGTCGTTATATATTTAATCATGCAACAAATTTTTCACTGTTTTTACGAACTAAGGTAATTTATTATACATTCGAGACGAAAAGTATCATCATACATAATTTAAAAACGCTTTAAAATAAAATGAATAATGTATGTATTTTAAAAGTAGAGGCTTCAGGATTTAATATGAGTTTAAGTTTTACTATTATAAGTTTTAATAGATTGTGATAATTTATATATTAATGGGAATCACAATATGTAGATTTTGCTTCAGCATCGTAGTCGAAAAAATTTCGAAAAAGTTTCACAATGTTCATTTACTCGGAAAGTATCCGTTTATTTTTATTATATAACCTATAATTATTCATTGACGAAAAAGTATATTGAATTATGTTACTAATTTTACATGCTTGTAACAGTTGACTACAATTTAATTGCCAATAAATACAAACGAAAATAATATCTAGCGAACGTAATACAATATTAAAACATACATTCTAGTATCGATATGGTTATTTCAAAATCAGCCTGTCATATCATTGTTAATGCTACTTGAGAATATTTTTTATAATTAAGTATCGTGTCTTCTATACATACATGTATCAAGGATACAGTATAGTTCACTGACTTTCTTATTCAAAGTAACAATGAGTTCATTAAGAATATTAGAAGATAAGAATAATATCAAAATAAATGTAATATTGAAGAGCATAATAAAATTAATCAGCAGGTGTATTCAACTTTCAAACATACAAAGATACAAAGATACAATACAAACTTTAAGCAGCTAAATACATACCATTACATTTTTTCTTTATTTCAACAACAATATTGATCGTACAATATTTCAACGATGTTCTTAATTCAGCATCCATGATAATATTATTTTAGATTGTTATTTTAGCAATGGTCCCCGTCATTACAATCCAGAACAGGATAAAAATTACATATTCTGTGATAGTAAAAAGCAGTAAGTTTAAAAAAAAAAAAAATAGCACTTTCTGTAAAAAGTTTTCATAAAATGTAACACTTCACGAGATTTATGAAAGACTTCACAATATCTATTATGTCTAGCACAAATATTGCGCAGCTCGAGGAGAATGTTTTTAATACTTTGCAAAACGCGGAAAAAATAAAATGCACAACATAGCAATAGCCCTAAGCGAAATTCCGACTTCACTTCCCAAACGACAGTAAAGAACTGACTCTTCTTTTCGTAACCTGTAATTCTCATGCTGCACATACGTTGTCGTAAAGCTCAGAAATGGGAAGAAACACCTGGGATTGATTGACACTTTCCCCTATGCTATGGAGACAATTTTTTCTTAAAACTCAGCGTAATTGTGCAAAAATTGCAGGGGAACAGGAAGAGAAAGAATAAAAGTAACGTTTCTTCTTGGAAATATATTTATTATTCACGCGCATCGATGAACCGTCATTTTCCCCTCATGCGTAATTCACAAGTTGTGTCACGCGACGGTGTCAATATTTTTGTCCCTCTCTTTAATTTTCTGCGAAACCTGTAAAGCCATGACCACGACCAGACGTTTCCCGACCGTCGAAGAGAATGGACTTCATTGGCTACAGGCACTATAAACTCCTGAAATACTGGTTCTACGTGATGGGACTGACATCGTACAAACCAATGCAGTTAAGAGTGGTGCATACTACGATCGTATGTTTGTTATTTTTTCTCGGGTCAACGTTTACCGTGGTAAGCATATTTCATTCGTACGAAATATAATTATTTAAACGGTTTTCTGGTATATCAATGCATTACTTGCGAAAAAATTAATCTTTTCTTTACATTTATGTTATCAATCGTTGCAGTTTTCTCTTGTGGAAAATAACTGCACCTCTCAATTGTTTTCATTCCAAACAAGCATTGCAGTTTTAATCGCAAATATAAATATAACGTATGGTTTGTTACTTGTGAAATCTGTAAACGTAAGTTGCGAAGGTTTATTTAATTTTCACTAGTCATTACAATATCGTTTCATGCTGCAACACTTTCTGGATTTTTCAAGATAAAGGAATGGTTAAAAGATATCAAACGTGATTGGAATCATATACAATACAAGGAAGAATTTAAAATACTTAAAACATGTGTAGCGATTGGAAATTATTATTTAAATATTTATTTAAGTAAGAAGTAAATTAATCGTCGCATAAGGCGGTGAGAATACGTATAACGATAATATTTTACATTTAAAATGCATTGCAGTTATAATGTGTATCGGTTATTTCATTCTTACTGTGACGCTGTTTCTTCCACGTCACATTCTCGAGATTTTAATATCTACAAACAAAACTCTCTGTTATTTGCCGTCTATTTCAATGACGCTTCTGGAAAAATCTCGAAATCATAATTTGTTTTTCATTTTGACGAACATTACATTTATTTTGAATGGAATAGTTTTGTATTGTTGTGACATTTTCTTTTTATTGACTACATTACATATACGTGGACTGTACAAAATTGCTGTGTGAGTATAGTTTTGGTTCTATACAAATAGAGATTGGATTATGAAGTTTTTCACACTTATTAGTTACCAAATGAAAAATGTCGTGGATGGAAATTCAATGAAAACGACTATTCCCAAGATGGATATCGTTATACGCAAGAAAATAATAAATTCAATGGAAATTTATAACTTAATAACAAAGTTAGTATCTTTTCAGATAAATGCTAATATGCCAATATTTATGCAGAGTTTATTTTTACTAATATTTGCTGTCTTTAAACTTAAACGTATTTTAAACGTTTTCCTAAGTTCTTCTACATTGACGTGAAATTAGACACTTTACGTTATTTATTCATTCTTTTATGAAGGTGGATTAGGTATCTCAAACACAATTTTTCAGTCTTCTGCATATTAAACTTTATAGCAATGTCAATATATTACGCAGCGATCATGTTCAATGTAAGTAACATCACAGTGTGTAAGTGAAAAACATCACATATACAATATGACAGAAATTTGACGATTTTAAATCTGGGAAACTATTAATTGTTTCAACTAGCAATACAGATTAAGGCACGTAATTGCCCGGCGTGATTACTAATTATGTAATTATCTGGGCAAAATGTAAGATTTGAAAGCAACGATTAATTTTAGATTAATTGAATAAGGCTTGTTGATGAAATGTAAATGATAAAATAATAACAAATCTCTGAATATTGGAGTAGTTGGAGTAATCTCTGAAAAATAATGGAATATATATCAGAGAAACGTTTCTACATAAAATTCAATTATATTCCAATACATCTGTACTGTCATACTTACTTAAAGTATGAAAACTTGAAACTATTTTATTTTAGAAATCGTCAGATTCGCATTCTGAACCCTGTATTGTATTACGTTTATGATATATTCTGTCTAGATTACCAGGACGATATCCCAACGACATTGTTTTGGCATGATTATAAACTTTGTTGTCATATTATGTGCTACGCTGTTAGTTATTCATGTATACCATACAATACAATGCGTATTCGACGAAAGTCAGAAATACTTTTATATTCCGTAAGTATGCAAAATAATTCTCAATTATTGGTATTTGACAATGTGTTTAATTATTAATTAATCGCTAATTGTTTCTATATTACACTGTATATTAGATTCATTCTATACAGGATGTCTCGTAACGTGACGACATCAAATATCTTATGAAATATTGTTGTACGAGAAAATAGTAGAGAAAATAGAATACTATAGTCAGTTTTATGTTATTTTGCTTTTTTATCAAAATATGAAGTCACCTTCAATTTTTTAAATGGAATAGTTAGTATTTCTTCCCGAATTCGGATAAAGCGTGGAATTCAATATAAAGAAATATTATACCAAATAGTGTCTAAAGTACATAGTTGCTGAGATTAACCGTCTTTTCTAATACAATGTAAAAAAATATTTTTGCTAATACCTCAGTAACTATGTACTTTAGATCCTATTTGGTACAATACTTTTTTTATTTAGAATTCCAAGCTTTATCCGAGCTCGGAAAGAAATATTAATTATTCCATTTAAAATAAAAAGTACCTGCTATCTTCGACGTTAAGCGAACACCAGACTGCGGAACACCGCTAGTGATTGGTGACCGATAGGGGTGTGCGGGTACCCGAAATTTCGGGTTCGGGTCGGGCTCGCAGAAAATCGGGCGGGCTCGGGCGGGTAGACCGACGATTTCGGATAGCCCGATGATTCGGATCTAGTTGGAAAAAGTTCAAGGGGGATATAGGATCAGAGATGGGCATTATTCGAATAACATTTCGAATAAATTATTCGATATTTACGAATAACGATTTTATTCGAATCTAAAATTGGACATTATTCGAATAACATTTCAAATAAATTCTTCGAATAAAATTTTATTCGTATAAAATTTCGAATAAATTCTTCGAATAACATTTTATTCGAAACATTTACTGAAATAATGTAAAGAAAAAGAATCAGGAGTCCTTTCTTCACAATTTTATTGGTTTATTTAATAAATTTGCCTCTAATACAATTTTTTGATCGAACATTTTGTTAGTTAATCTGTTTGCTTTAGGCGAGTTTATTGTCGTTGCAAATGAAAACAAACGTTCTACTGGAGCAAAAGATGGCGAAGGAGTATTGTATTTCAAAAATATATTTTTAATTGCGTTCAGAGATATGTAATCATTTCTGTTATCTGTAAAACATTGTAGTACAAGAATTTCTACGTTATCATTTGTTTGTAAATGTTGGTCAGTTGAAGTACATTCCGCTTTATTAGGTATTAAAAGCGAAGAAAATTTATTAATTAAACCAAAATTGAAAAAAAATGTACTCCTGACTCTTTTTCTTTACATTACTTCAGTAAATATTTTGAACAAAAATTTTATTCGAATAATGCCCAACTGTGTGTTCGAATAATTTTTCTTCGAATAAAGTCGTTATTCGTAAGCAACGAATAATTTTTCCTCTAATAAAATCGTTATTCATTATTTACGAATAAATTTGACAGTATTTTATTCGTTATTCGTTCGAATAAAATATGCCTAACTCTGGACTAGGGATTATATTGCGTTATCGAAGTCAATTATTCATAATATTTAATAAACATATATATATATTTTTTCTTCAAATGTAATAATATTTACGCTAAATGATAATGTCAAAAAGATAATTGCTCAACATTTTGTGATATTAATTTCGCTCGAGTTGGTATTATTATATTTCCGGATAAGGAAAATAATCTTTCACTCGTAGTTTGAGTGGCAGGTACAACGAAAAATTTTTTTGCAGCTAAAGACAATAGTGGGAATCTGGCTGTATTGCATTTCCACCAGCTAATAACATCTATATTTCTAGCATTAAGACCATCGGCGAAATACATATGTATCTCTCGATGTAGCTGCGACTCAAAGATCTCCGGTTCGTATATTCGACGTTTGTATATCCTAGTGAATCGTCAAAAAGTTGTGATTTGTTTGTACCTATAAGTTGCATTAGGTAATGAAATATTTAAATAACAGGAAAATTATATTTATTTTTATATAAACTTATTACTTTTTCTGGTATTGCATTTGTCTAATATGTTTTCATATGAGTTTGATGTTTTCTTGTAAATATCTGAAATAGTTGCACCTAATATTTCTATTGCTTTACGTCTTTCTTCTGTAATAAATAATCCTTAAAGCGAGGATCCAAAAACACGGTATTGAAGTACAGATTATTATTGTGTACAATAGGCTCGAATCGTTCCTAAAAATAAAATTACGTAATTTATTTAATATGGTTTCTTTCGTCTTTCTTGTGTAACTAAAAATAAATAATCAAACGGACCTTTAATGCTTCGCGAATACTCTATTGCTCATATCTCTTATCAGTGTAGTTGCTGTTGGCTCTGTGACTGAAGTATATTTATTAATGCGAAATATATTGGATAATATTGGAAGACAGTTGGATATGTTTCGCCACTCATTCTTTCTGTAACATCTTTAATAGGTTTCAAGACATCTGTTATTGCTATAATGAAATTCCATTCTACTGAATCTAAATTATCCGGCATATTATCTTCACACAGTACTATATTACAAGTGTTATTTGCAAAAGAATGAACCGTTTAAACATTTCTTATGTTGAATTCCATCTTGTATTGACATCCTGTATTAATTGCAACAGTAGTTCTTGTTGTTTGTTGATGGATTTTTGTGCAGTTATAAGCTTGTGATTTGCGGTTGTGGAGCGTGAAAAGAACGTAACTATTTCCTTGCATTTTTTCCGGAGATGATCGTATAATTCAAAATTTTTCAAACCTTAACTGCCAATTGTAGACAATGGGCAAAACAAGGAACTCTGCTCCACTCATTGTAATTATCTATGGCTTTAACAATATTTCGTCCATTTTCTGTAGTGATAAAGGCTGGCGTCTCAGTATGTATATTCCATAATTAAAAACAGCGTAATATAGCGTTTTGAATATATTTATATACATGTATGTTTCTCCGGAAGGTATTTTAAATTTAACATATAATGGTAAAGTTCAAAAGTTTTATTTATATAATGTATAGTTAGAGACATATAACTTTGTACGGCTCTTGGCGTCCAGCCGTCAGTAGTAAATGCTACAGTGGTGTTCCCTGTTAGAAAATTATGTGTTAGAGTTAGAAGATACATATAAAAAAATAATATCAAAAAATAATGCTTACTGAAATAATGCTAAAGAAAAGTATAAAGGGTTAACTACAAATATGTGTAAATAGAAACGCGATCAAAATTTTCTGGATTTTTCTTTATTTTTAAAATGTATTATATATTACACGCAGGTATGCGTGATAGTGATAGCATCGAAGATATCGTCAGCGCATCTGGTGTGAATGTTGTACGACGAAAACGACATAGAAGTAATGTAAGGCAGCATTCTGAAAAAATTAATCCACATGAAAATATGATTATATGATGACACAATGTAAAATATGTCAACAAAATATTAAAGTGAAGTATTGTTGTATAATTTTATTTGTAATAAAGTAACACTTGTAGACTTTACACGAACGAACGAATGTTCAATACATCAGTAAATTCAGTTCGGCTAAAGGTCTTTAGACCAAACTGAATTTACTGAATATGTATATCAGGACATCACGGAGAAACAAAAGACTATGTACATAGTACTCACTCACATGACCAATAGATGTCATGATTAGTTCGATTACTGTAGCGACCTCTACTTCGAAGTATTTAGATCAATGCTCATTAGATCGTTCCGTCGAGATGTGTATTTAATATAAACAATAGAATATTTAAAAATTACTAGTAATTTTATTATCACCATGGAAATGTTTACAGACACTTATATATATTGTAGCCATAGTAGAAATTCTTCACTCATTATTTAACTTCCATTATGTAATCTTCATTAAGTTATTAGTAATTATATATTTTGTTATATTGATAATATTTTTATATAAACAACTAAAATTAATTACCTAGAACGGAGTTATTATTTATTTGTAGTATTGTGATATAAATTTAAATTATCATAATCACTACATTACAACAAGTACAGCAATACGTGTTCTCTTGGTCGTCGTTTAAAGTATAAGCATAGTGATGTAATTAATTCAGTAATATGTACAAAGGCACAAATCAGTAAATGTTACAGAATAA